TTGAGGGATTGTTTCATCAACTGATTCTTAAATAAAAGCAATTCCCACCAAAAAAGGTTATCAATTTAGTCATTTATTCATATAAAACAAATGCCATTTATAATAGATAGTATGTTATTGGCTTTTTCTTATTATCTTTCATGCAAGGCTCAAGTGAAACACAAGGTAGCGTGTTATTAAATATGGTTTTTGCTAAGGAATCAAAGCAGGGTAACTTCTTTTGGGATTTGAAGCATCATGACTGAGCAGGAAGGTTCAGACACTGAGACAAGCTTGCTTTGTTGAGGGGACTAAAAGAGTCATTTGGAGAAAAGTAGGTTAACAAAGGCTTCCCGGAAATGAGCTGACATCTCCCTACCTCCATAAGTAGATCAGATTCATTAAGTCATCATGATTCATGGTATTTTTTCATCTTTGGATTGTTTTATTATATCTTTGGTAATATCAGAGATATTATTAGATAGTTCTATTTATCAAGTGATACATAATGTTATAATAATATCCTTCCACAGAAATCTGACTTTTCGTACACGTTTCATGAGCGGCACATCTCTTTCATTTCCTTCATTACTGTCCTCCATCACATGATTTGGGGCCTACTTTTCATTCTGTTTCCAGTTAGGATTCCTCTCAAGACCATTTTTTGGCAGCAAAGCCACTACAACACAAGGGGTGTGAGAGAATATGAGAAAAAAAACATTATTAAAGAGAGAGAACAATAAAAGAACGGGAATTAAGAAGATAGTGATTGACAATGCATTTAAATTTTTGAAAATTTGACCGAAAAGCAAGAAACCAGAAGGGAGTCCAACAAACAAATATGTGCGAGAGAGGAAACTGTTAACAGAGAACTTATGGTTACATCGAGCGATTTCAACTGTAAAATGATGAAACTTTGAGCCAATCTAATACTGCTCAAATTTATAAAGTCTAGCTACCATAAAGGAAAGTTAATTTGAACAATTAGCATGAAAGAATTTTTAGAAAAGGCACAGGATAGCTATGTTATGGTGATGCCAATTTGGGACCAATAACATTAGAGATTCTTCTTTGGATTTTATCAAGAATCTCTAAATACATAGCAGAAGCACCAGACCAGAAGTGGCAGCAATATTCAAAGCATGGATTAATGGTAGACTTATAAATAGGTAAGATAGATTCTGGAGATAAAAATTGTCTAACATGACACAGTGAAACAACTTTCCTAGCTGCAGCTCTGGCAACTGATTCAATATAATCTTTCTACTTCATGTCGTTAGACCAAAAAGATGCAACAAGTCACTCACCTAGAAGTTATCATCAGCCAGGCTGATGAAAGGTAGAATGAGGTCTCTCAGATAATAGAGAAACATTTCATTTTGGAGGCATTAAAATTAACAAACCATTCTTTACACCAGTTCCCAACAGACTGTAGGTCATTTTTTAAATCAGCTGCCAATTTGACCTCATCAAATAGATCAGACTTACTGTTAAGGATCAAATGGATTGCCTGAGTTCTTAAAAACTGGAGCTACAGAAGAGATTTTTCAATAAGCATTTTGGGTAAATCTTTTCTTGGATATTTTCAGAATATGACCCAGTCATCAAAACCTATATTTCTTGATATCAAGAGACGTATTATGACTCTTTGCCCTCTTATATATTTCCTAACAGAATTGCTCTGACCACCAGAGTAATACATTTCCTAAAAAATATAAAAATACATCCTTCTTTTTTGTCTGCTATTGTGAAAAAACAACAAACAATGAAAAAGGTCTTTCAAACAAGATAGAAGTCAGTGATCAGGAACTTAAAGCAGTGAGCCAATTCAAATATCTTGACTTGATTATCAGTGAAGAAACTTCCAGAAGAGAAATAATTTCATGAGTAGCACAAACAGTAGCAGCTGTCACAAAAGTAAAAATAACATCTGGTAAGACAAGAACATCTGGTAAGACAAGAACATCTGCCTGAAATCAAAGATCAGGCTGTTGTATGCCTGCAGATCTTGAACATTAATAGCAGAATTACAGCAAAGAATCTAAGCATTAGAAAGGAGATGCTACAGAACCATCCTAAGCATCTCCTATGTAGACTGCATCAAGAATGATGCAGTGCAAGACTCATTTGATTGACTGATTTGTTTTCTATGGCCTATCAACCCCTTTCAGGTTATTTAAAGCCAGAAAATATTTTTAGATTGTAAGAATTTTTTTTGCTGGAAATAATAATGATTTAGAGAAACAAATCTTACTAATTAACCCATTGCTGGGGGAAGAAGGGGTGGATTCATAACTTACCCAAAGGTATTTGCATGTGTGAATATAACGAACCCAATTGAAATTGGAAATTAGCTCTCCGATTAACAATTCCAAGCCATTATCCATTACACTACTCATACATCCAAACTTACAGCACCTGGTATTCCTGAGCGGTCACCCACCTAAGTACTGACCAGGCTCGACGTTACTTAACTTTGATAATTATATGGGAACCAATGTTTCAAAATGATGTGGCCATAAGCTATTCTATCAGACAAGAAACAGGTCCATTGGAAAACCTCATAACTACTCTCAAGAAGAGGAAATTGAAATGGTATGGATATGTCATACAAGACAACTATCCTTCCACTGCCATTCTGCAAGCTACCACCTTAAGCAAAAGAAGAGACAGAGGGAAAAGCATACTGAGAACACCACTGAGTGGGCTAGATTACTCACAAAGATTCAGACATTGGTGAGTTGGGAGGCTCAGCTGTACAGTGGCTACACCTAGCCATGAGACTGCTGCTGCTAATAATAATAATACTGATGATGATGATGGTAGTAGTGGTTGTGGTGATGATGATAACAGCAATGATGATGATGGCAGCAAAAAATAATTATTGTCCAATATTGTCTCTTTTATATTGTTGTTAGAGATTTCAAATGTTCAATTAAGAAAATAAAATCAATTTCAAACACACAAAAGAAATGTACAAATCCAAACCTCTTTGTGTCCTTTCCAATGATCTGCTATTCTAGTGTAGTTTCATCACTGTCACAATGGTTAACAAGAAAAAAAAAGAAAGAGTTTCAGAAGAACTGGACACTCCCTTTGTTCTAGATTTCTCTTTTTCACTTTGCAAGTACTAGTAAATAGATACTGCAACTGTTGTGAGGCAAGAGAGAGGATGCTAATTTGGAAACAGAAAAGTCAATCTTCAAGCACAATATTAAAATAATGTTGTCACAAGCATTAGAACAGCTTGTGTACTTTATCTGTCATTTGTTTTGATGACAAGCCTTTTTTTTGGAAGATATCAAAAGAAACAGATGTTGATAATCACTAGATGTAGAAGATTTAAATTTGATGGAATATTGACATAGTTTCAAGAATGTAAGATAATAGATATTTTGGAAGATTATTTCACAAACTGATTATTAAATGAAGCCCTATCCTAAAAATGTTATTAATTTAGTCATTCATTCCTGACAAGTAAAAGAAATCCTATTTATAAAAGATAAATAAATGAGATTCATTAAATCATCATGATTCATTCTATATAAAAAGAAGTGAAACTCAATTGAAGAAATTATGTTAAACTAGCAAATGTTGAAAAAAAACTGAGGTTTGGGGTTTTTTCTATCAAAATAAATTAAATTCCAGAAAAAAATCCATTTTTTATGGTGATTTTTATTGATTCCTCTCTCCCACTTTCTCTCTCTTGTATGCTGGTCAGGAGACGAGGTTAGATAATTTTCACATGAAATGTTTAAGAAATTTTTTAAAAATTAAATGGCAAAATAGGTTTGCAACTATAAAAGTGCTCAAAAGAGCTGGCATTCAGTCACTATATTCCATCCTGTGGTCTCAGAATCTCAGGTGGCTTCGGCACATTGCACACATGGATATCTCCAGTATTTCCAAGCTTCAAGAACCAGTGTAAAATGTCCATGATGGAATTTTCTATCAATGTTGCAAACTGGGATGAATGAGGTGGAGAGCTGCTATTTCCACAGAAGCAAAGCGCTATGAAGAGAACAGAGTCCAGTGCACTGTAGAGGCTAGACAAAGATGCAAATGCCCCATTTTCCAGTTGAATTCACTAAATATAACTGTAAGTTCTATCCTAGCAGCTTCATCCCTTGCACTTATCATTTGTAGAAATCTCTTCTGGCTTTTTAGTATCCAATCAAATTTGATCTTCAAAAATTTAAATGCAGTGTTAATCATTATCTTCTGTCTTCTTAATTCCATTTCTTTTATTATCCTACCTCTTTAATAATGTTTTCTTTTTCTCATATTCTTTCACACTTGTCTTAGTGGCTTTATTGCTTTGCTTGGGGTGAAATGATTAAAAAAACAAGTGATGCTAGGTTACAAATATACAATGTAACCAGTCTGAATAGAGTGTACTAAACACATACATAAACAGCCAAATGTAGATATTAAGGTGATGGGTTTTGACAAAAGCCATGCATAACCTTGTATGTGTGGTCCAGTTAGAAATAACTTCATGTTAAGTACCCCAGTCTGCTCAGATAGTTTCTGAGAGCATTCTCAAGTATTTAGATGGGACTTCTAAGTTGCCTTGGCTGCCTCATCCTTCAAATTTAAAAAAATCCTCTCAACACCTGGCCATAATATTCCCAACATTATTATTATTATTATTATTATCTTCTTTCACACGGATTTTGTTTTCAACCAGAGATCATGCATTATGTGTATTCTCCACCAAGTTGTGCAAACTCAGAGAGAGAGAGAGTACCTTTTGCAGATTATTTACAGTGCCAAACAATACAGACTTCTGAAGCAACAGGCTATATTCTGATTTTATTAATATAAGGTTTTAAGTTTGATGTTATAGATTCCAATGCCCCAATGATAACAGGGATAATAGGCAATGCCTGAACATCCCACATTCTGGAAACTTTAATCCAGAAGTTGGAGGTTGGAGCATTTCTTGAGTTTGTCAATTTCTTTGACTTTGATATTATGGTCATCAAGGGATACAAATTATGCTGAGTGCTGGAGTAAAGAGAGAAGAAATGGAAGCTTGTTGCCAGGGTAAAACATGCTCAAAGAAAAGAAAATAACATGGTGGCATTGGGGGAGAGAGTCTTCCCATGCATTCATTGCAATTGAGACTCTCACACCCGTGTGGACCTGTACAGACATAACAAAATATTGTGAAATCAAGAAATCCCACAATATCTTGATTTGGTCATCCTTAGATCACATTCTCTAGCTTCTGGTGGTACTATTTCTCTTCAAATCCATGCTTCCTACATAGGCACCAGTGCAGATGAGAGGCTACTTTATCATGGCAATACTTGTATTCTTTCCACACTCAAGTTAGAGAGTTACAGAGTAAGAGGTATGGTTTATGGGAATATATGGGGGAGATAACAGTTAACCCTAGATTTGAACAGGTTAAGATTGTAATGATCAGGGAAGCATTATCTCAGGAGTCAGTTCCACAAAGCAGCAGTTCCTGGGAAGAAGTTGCTCAAATGAAACTTACATCTCACCAATGGAATACAAAGGGAATGAGGGTCGTTTGCTACAATGTGCATAGAATGGCAAGTTTTAACCATGAAGGTTAGAACTGGGGTAACTAAAGAATGTATTGTAGTTTGTCAGAAGATAAATATAAATAGAGCAGTGTGACATTTCGTCTATGAGAAAGGGGTTGTAGGGTTGAAAATAATTTGTAACCCACAAGGAGATAATTTTGGACTCTATTGAGACTGGACCAGCCCATATATGGCAACAGTACTCCATTTTTGACCTGATCTGGCTCTTGTAAAGTTAGAGGATAGCAGGATGAGTCAGGTACTTACTTGAGTGGTACATTTTTCCAGCATCTTTAACAATGGATCATATGTACAATTTCCACTTGAGGTCTGGGTTTGAGTTTAAGTTCCAATGGGTGCTCAAGTCATGTGGCCTCCCTGAGGGAACATCCATTCATTGTGATTGGTGATAGTTCAAATAATAAAGGATGGCCTATAATCTTGGCCTCAATTCCAATTTTCCTACACACTCTTTGAATTTTCTAGCTGGTGTTCCAAGTGCTCCCATTACTACAAGAATTACTTTAACAGTCATATGCCACAGCTTCTTCAACTCCCTAGGCAGATCCTGATATTTTTTAATCTTTTCACTTTTTTGGAGTCTACTCTTGTATCATATAGAGCAATCTATACAATTATGTTATCGTTAATACTATTTCTGTGCCAACTTTGGACATTCACTGAGTATGTGATTAAATGTCTCATCAGCCTGTCCACACAGCCTGCATTTGCTTTCTTCTTTTGATTTGTCTATCTTGGCCATTATTATATAAAGATATATTAAAATGATATTAGATAATATATTAAATATATTGCTATCATTATTACTAGTATTTATTATTTCTGTTACATGTATTTATATATTCAGAATATAATTCTGTAAATTTTTAAACTGAATTTGTCTGATTTTAATGTTATTTTAGCCACCTACAAATCATTAGACTATGAGATGTGTTAAAATTTTGACATTCTTTTCTCAGTGAGTGAAAGATAAATTATGCATTAAATTTATTTTCTAATCTACATGAAAATATATAAATTGGAATTAAAGAAAATAATTTAAACTGAAATATTTCCACAAAGAACAAGATTTTTTTTTTCTTTCAAAATATGTAAATTTAGATGCATTTCAGCCTATGTCCATATGTGTCAGTCTGGGGCAGTAATTATCCAATGAAATTGCTTTCTCAGAACTTGTGAGCTAGGTCACCTACTTGAATCACATGAATCTCACCTGATATACTTTGACCCAAAAGACCGGCAGCTGTGACCAATCAAACCCAAACTGACCACCGCTTAACAAAACGAAAAATAATAATGCTACAGCTGGACATTTTTTAATTTAATGACTTTATCTCCAACCATAAATATTAATGCAAAAGCCTTTAACTTAAATAGCAATTTAACAACTGTATACTTGTAATTGTCTTCATTTTGTGTCAGCATCCAGAATGGTATTAATAAATAGATTATATATTATAATCATATATCATAATCTATATATTAATGTTCATTTGTGTTGACCTATTTATCTACAGTATATGGTTAATAAAAAGGAACAGCAAATTACAAATTGGGAAAACTAAAATCAAACATGTACAACAATTTAAATGTTTAAGAAGTGTTTTAACAGAGGATGGAAAGTGCGACACTGAAATCTGAAGGTGCATTTGAATGGCAAAAGATGCCTTCCAAAAGCTAAGCAAAGTATTAATAAGTAAAAAAATTGTTAGAAACATGGAAAAGAGTTCTGAACGGTTATTTAATATCAGTTCTCCTATATGGTAGTGAATGCTGGACAATCTCCTCTCAGATGGAGAAGAGACTAGAAACAAGTAAATGTTTCATGGAACAAGGTTTAGGAGAAATTAAAAAACAGAAAATTTATTAAGAGCTATGAAAGAAAGGAAATTGTGGAGAGCTATGATTGCCTACATCCTGAAGGATCATAGCACATAAAGAA